GATTAAGATTCAAATACTTTTTTCCTGTTTTCACACATTACTTAATCAATGTGAAGTACTGTGTAAAAATTGCATCTCTTCATAACAGTGATTTTGACCAAGTCAAGTGTTGCTGCTAGAATTCTAATCCAGACTTGTGATTCAATTATCATTTTGGAGACTTTCTAAATTTAAATTAAGTTTACTAAAGAAAGGAAGGAAGAATAAAGGTGGCTAATGCTATCAATACAAATCATTTGTAGGGAACCCTCAGAATCAGGCTCTCCTTTTCCAAAGTAAAATATATCAAAGTTTTATTTTTAAATACAATTTGCAATATATATATATATATATATAGAGAGAGAGAGAGAGAGAGAGAGAGAGAGAGAGAAGAAGAAGAAGAAGAAGAAGAAGGGAACTTGATAATGAGAATCTCTCCTTCTATTATTAACATTGAGCCCAGTCACACATTTTTCCCCAATTTCTTTGTTGCATCACAAAAAGAAAAAAAACCTTGCTTTTTGAGAACCCCCTTCTGCAGTAACTTTATCTAACTCCAATGTTGTACAGTTTAAAGCAAGAGGCATGTATAGAGTACCAGCAAGTTGTAGTAGTTTGAGTGCTGGATTATGATTCTGGAAACCAGGGTTCAATTCCCAGCTCAGCGGATGTACACCACCACATTGTGGTGTAGTTGTTTCAGTGCTAGATTAGGACTCTGGAAAACCAAGGTTTGAATAATCTTTCAGCAGTGGAAACCCAGTGGGTGATCTTGGGCAAATCATTTTCTCTCTCATCCTTAGAAGTGTAAAATTCAGAGACATAGCTGTGTTAATCTGGAATATTAGTATGCAAAGAGATCTTGTAGCATCTTTGAGACTGACTGACTGAGGAAAAGACTTGTAGCATAAGCTTTTTTATTGGGCCTCTACAGATGGCCCTTTGGGCCGTTCTGGAGGCAGGGATGGGGAGAGGCAGCCACACAGTGGCCGCCTCAACCCCTCCCCAAAGACGTCATCATGGGACGCGCCATTACGCACAGTGCGCACCATCAGGACGTCCTTCCGGCACTGCATTTTGATGCACTGCACCAGAAGGGGTGCTGCAGCAGCTCTTTGGGAGTCCTTTTTGCTGGCTCTGAAAGGACCAGCATTTTGGCGCTCCTTTCAGGGGCAGGAAAAGGGTGGATTGGGGGCGAGGCATGGGGCAGCCTTGGCCCCAATCCTCCACTTCCAAGGTGGCCCAGGGCCGCCCGTCTGCATCCCCCCATTGACCATTTCACTCCATGGGGTCATTCAAATGCCCATTTTTTTTAGAGCGAAGATGCGAATCATCTCACTCATGCATTTATTTTTTGTTTTGTCCTCCAGCCCAGTGATTCTCAAATCCTGATCTTCCAGATGTTTTGGATTTCAGGCCCCAGGAGTTTCAATAGTATGGTTAATGCTCAGGAATTCTTGGAGTTGAAGTCCCCAAAATAGGGCCACTAACATTTGAGAACCACTGCCTAGCTTGTGTGTGACTGTGTGTTCTGAATCCTATTGGGTAGTCCAAGCTTGAGTAGACCTGCTGAATCAAATTGAAGGCACATAACACCACGAAGAAGAAGGATTCTATTGGGCAGCTGGACACATTTGGGCTTCAGTCCAACATGACTTGGCGTAGTGTATGATTCTGCCTGTGAAGCTACTGCTACATTGAGCCATTTGCCACCATCACACAAACCTTCTGTAGCCTCACTGAAGCCCCCACCAAAGGAGCAAGAATGCTTGCAGCAAAGTCTGGCTATGTCCCCATGGCCAGATGCAAAGAGATTACTTCAGCCGCTGAGTTTCAATGGCACCCTCCAGAGGTCCTCTGTGCAGTTGGCAGCATGAACTTTAATCAAAAGCAAGATTGTGAAGTCGAAAGCTTTCATGGCTGTCATCCATAGTTTTTTGTGGGTTTTTCGGGCTGTGTGCCATGTTCTAGAAGAGTTTTTTTCTGACGTTGCGCCAGCATCTGTGGCTGGCATCTTCAGAGAAATCTTCTCTGAAGATGCCAGCCACAGATGCTGGTGAAACGTCAGAAAAAAACTCTTCTAGAACATGGCCACACAGCCCGAAAAACCCACAAAAAACAAAAGCAAGATTTTTTTTGTATTTGTTTTGTATTGTATGTTGATTGTTAATAAGTAGAGTTATGTTTGTGTGTAAATTTGTTGTGTATTAATGTTATGTTTGTCATTTTTATTGATAAGTGTTTTTTAAATAAATAAAATTAACCAAAAATGTGAGAAAAGGATTGAAAAAACAAAAATTAAAATGATTACTGTTACCTTTCAGTCTTCCTTTACTCGTTTCAATTGTGTAGCATTAGGGCCAATTACCTGATTGTTCTATCTGTGACCGAGGAGAATACATGCATGAAGAAACAGATGTCTAGCTGCTTTGGATCCAAGTGTGTTGCTTCAGACAGTGTCAACAGCATCCTTTTGCACTATGGCTGCAGGATTGACTGGCATCTAGAAATTCCTGTTGTTCATCACCAGATACATCTGAGGAATAAATGTTTGTTTTATTTGCCCTCAAGTTAACTTTGACATACAGCAATCCTATGAAAGAGAAACCTCCAAGAGACCGGGCCATCAATACCCCTGCTTAGGTCCTGCAAATGTTACTGTGACTTTCTTGACTGAACCAATCCATCTTCAGTGCGGTCCCCCTCTTTTCCTACTACCATCCACTTTACGAAGCATTATCATCTTTTCCATTGATTCACATCATCTCATGATATGTCCAAAGTATGACAGCCTCAGTTTAGCCATCATTGCTTCTAGTGAAAGTTCAGGTTCCATTTTCTCTTAACACCATTCATTTGTCTTTTTGGTAGTACACTATGTCCTCAGAATTCTCCTCCAGCACATTTCAAATCAGTTTATTCTCTTCCTGTCAGTTTCTTCACTCTCAGCTTTCACAATCATACATAGGTCACATGTTGTTGCTGTGTGCCTTCAAGTCATTTCCAGCTTACAGTGACCCTAAGGCAAACCTATCACAGAGGTTTCTGGGGCTGAGAGAATGTGACTCACCCAAAGTCACCTAGTGGGTTTCTATGGCTGAGTGAGGAATTAAACTCTTATCTCCAGACTTGTACGATGATGTGCAAACCTCTACACGAACCTGGCTCTAAGGTCACATTGAAGCAGCAAAAATGAAATGTAGACATATAGGATGGGTGATATCTGGCTTAACAGGAGTTCATGTGAAAAGGATCTGCAGGTCTTTGTAGACCACAAGCTAAACATGAGCCAACAGTATAAAGCAGATGCGAGAGAGGTCAATGCAATTCTAGCACCTATAAAGTTTTGACTAAAATCATGAGTGGTTCAAATCACTGAGTTTGGAGCCACCAGCATTTACAGATTTTGTTTTATGCCCTTGTTGTTACTGTTGCGGCTGTGTGCCTTCATGTTGTCTCCAGATTATGGTGACCCTATCAGGGTTTTCTTGGCAACATTTGCTCAGATGGGGTTTGCCATTGCCTTCCTCTGAGGCTGAGAGGATGTGGGTTTCCATGGCACAGAGAGGATTTGAACCCTGGTCTCCCAGAGTCCTAGTGCACCACTGAAACCATTATACCATGAAGGCTCCTTAAGTGAGTCTTAATTTTTGTCTTACATCCACTCCATCCCTATTCCACATCCCATCTTTGGGTAGTCATTTGCTGACAGTGTCTTTTCACCCAAACTACTGGGGAGGAACGTTTTCCTTAGAGGAAAAATATAATCGGTAGTGTAGTGGTTTCAGTGTTGGACTACATCTCTGGAGATCAAGGTTCGATTCCCAGCTAGACCATAAAGCCCACTGGGTGATCTTGGGCAAGTCACATGATCTCAGCCTCTTCACTGTAGTCTTTGGAGATCTGGGAAAGAGACACCTTCTATAGCCTTAGAGGAAGGCTATGGCAAACCACCTCTGAATAAGTCTTGCCAAGAAAACCCTGTTAGGGTCACCCAAAGTCCGAAACAACTTGAAAACACACAACAACAACAACAACAACAACAACAACATATATACAATATGAACAAAGAAAGAAAATTGTGGATTTTTTAAAAAAAGTATCCTGCCCATTTGCCAAAAATTGTTCAATGAAGCTTAGAAGATTAATAAATACATAAACCACTTAAAAGAAAAAAATTAAAAACAATGACTCTACAAAGCAATTATAATTAAACTGTTGTTGTTAATTGCTGTCAAGTTGATAATTGCCCTTTCCAATGAGTCCTGTCTTCCCACAGAGGGACTTTGTATACTGTAGGTGGAACCAGCTTAAGGCTAGATATTTATTTCATTATACAAATATACTTCAGTGAATGCAGTAGGTGTGTTCCTGGGTATTACTTCTTTAACAGAAACTTTGGTAGCAGAGGCAAAAAAAACAAGGGAAGAAGAGGAATATAGATTCCTGTTGTTGTTGTTCTTGTTGTTGTTGTCATTGTCGTTGTTAGCTGCCATCAGGTTGACTTTGACTTATGACAACCCCATGAATGAGAGACTTCCAAGTCTTGCAGACTTGGGGCAGCCCTGGCTTCCTTGATTGCATCCATCCATCTGGAATGAGGTCTTCTCATGATATGACATGTTTTCTCATGATATGTCCAAAGTATGACAGACTCAGTTTAGTCATCTTGGCTTCTGGGGAGGGTTCAGGCTTGATTTGCTCCCGGGTCCATTTATTTGTCTTTTTATCAGCCCACAGTATTCACAGAACTCTCCTCTAGCACTACATCTCAAATTAGTTGATTCTCTTCCTATCTGCTCTCTTCACTCTCCAGCTTTCATAACCATACAGAGAAACTGGAAACACAATGGCATGGACAATCCTGATGTTAGTATTCATTGATATATCTTTACACTTTAAGATCTTGTCTAGTTCTTTCCTAGCTGCCCTTGCAAGTCCTAGTTTTCTCATTTCTTGACCACAGTCTCCATTCTCCTTTATGACTGAATCAAACCATGGGAAATTGTTAAATACTTTATTTCAGAGTGTGGCATAGTGGTCTGAGCGTTGGACTATGACTCTGGAGACTAGGGTTCGATTCCCAGCTTAGAAACCCACTGGGTGACCTTTGCCTCAGCGGAAGGCAATGGCAACATCTTCTGAACAAATCTTGCCAAGAAAAACCCATGATAAGTTCACTTTAGGTTCACCATAAGTTGTGTTGAAGGCACACAATAACAACAACAATGGACCCATTGGAGTAGTCTCAAACCCAATGAAATTTGTGAGGTCGCCTCAAAGTGACAGGTGACTTGAAGTCACATAACACGAAATAAGAAGAACTTGGAAATAATTTCTTTAGCTGGACTGTCTGTGGTCACTGGTGACACACACACACACAAAAAATCTGTTTCCCAAATCTATTTTTAAAAAATATCTCGATAATTCAGCCAGGAATGCAAGGGCAGATCTCTCTGAGCTGACAAATTCTCCCTTTTATATATTTTTGTATTCCACTCAGGAATATATATATATTTTCAATTAAAACAGATTGGTGCAAATTATTCTGAATGCACCATAGATTTGCTTGCACAGTTAAAGTTGATTAATTGGGGATGGGAAGTGAAAATTAAAAAATGTCAATAGCTTACAAAAGGAAAAGAGAGGGAAGGAAACAAGAAAGGCAACTCTCTTGGGCCATTCAGCTAAAGAAAACCTGCTTCACTTAGGAAAGGACTATTCCTCTGTCACTCAGGGGCCAAGATCCTGCACTGGAGTTGTGCAGTGCAAATCTCCATGTGGATTGTGCTACGCAACCTTTGTGTCAATTATTCAAAGGACTTTTTCTTCTTATATGAGCATTTCCCCATGTCTTGTAATCTTTTGGAGAAGTCCTTTCTCTCTCTCCAACCATCCCCACAGGTACATCTGTTAGGAACACAGAAGAAGGCCTTCTTGGTGGTTGCTCCCAGATTCTGGAACTCCCTTCTTTGAGATATAGACTGGTACCTTCCTTATTATCCTTTCATAGGCAGATGAAGACCTTTTTGTTTTGACAGACCTTTGAGATCCACTGCTTGGAGACGCAGCAAGAGGGTATTATGTGCTATATTGTTTATATTGGTTGTTGTCAGTTTTTATTGTTGTAAGCCACCCCGATTGCTTCGATAGAGGGGTGGGATAGAAATAAATTTTATTATTACTATTGTTATTGTTATTGTTATTTTTAATGGTTTTCTAAAACTGCTTTCCATTTTATATACAGTTTTGTTATATTTTAAATTTTGCTATCATGCAATATTTTAGCTGTTATCTGTTTTTGACTGAAAAAATAAGGGGTCTGGGATAAAAAGGCAGAGGAGGAGGAAGAGGAGGAAGGTTTACCATTATTTCTCAATTGAAGGCACGCCTGAATATGCAAGTGAATCCACAACCTTTCTCCATGCACCTGCATCTATGTCTATATGCACAAAGGCACTGCATGTTCAACTCTGCTTCTACAACCTTGAACTGAATGTGGGTGATCCAGTAGACAAGACAAAAATGTCAACTCTTTCTGTAGAAGTAAGTACACCTGAGGAAGACACCTCAGAATCACAGAGTTGGAAGAGACCACAAGTGTCATCCAGTCCTGCCATACAGGAACACACAGTCAAAGCACCCCCAAGAGACGGCCATCCAGCCTCTGTTTAAAAACCAGAAAAGAAGGAGACTCCATCACCCTCCAAAAGAGTGTGTTCCACTGTCAAACAGCTCTTACTGTCAGGAGGTTCTTCACAATGTTGAGGTGGAATCTCTTTTCCTGTAGTTTGCATCCATTGTTCTGTGTCCTATTCTCTGGAGCATCGGGAAATAAGCTTGCTCCATCTTCAATATGACATACGGTACCTTCAGATATTTAAACAGGGCTATAGCATCACATCTTAACCTTCTCTTCTCTAGTCTAAATGTATACCCAGCTCCCTAAGCCTCTCCTCATAGGACATGGTTTCCAGACCCTTCACCATTTTGGTTGCCCTCCTCTGGACACACTCCATCTTCTCAACATCCTTTTTGAATTGTGGCCAGAACTGGACACAGGATTCCATGTGAGGCCTGACCAAAGCAGAATAGAATGGCACTATTACTTCCCTTGATCTAGTTCTGGCAATAGACAGACTGTTCAAAGACCTCCAGAGAAGGAGAGTGAGGCAGTTCATTCCACTTTCAAAGAGCTCTTACAGTCAAGAAGTTTTACCTAATGTTTAGGTGGATTCTCTTTTCCTGCAGTTTGACTCCCCTGGTTCACATCCCAATCGCTGGAAGAGCAGGAAACAAGCTCACTCCAACTTTTACATGACCACTCTTTAAATACTTAAATACTTAAATAAAGCTGTCATGTCTCCTCTCAGCCTTCTCAATCATCCTTGCTGCTGCCATTGTCATCATCATCATCATCATCCATTCATTCCCCCAATATTCCCCCCAATATCAAGACTCAAAGTGGCTTACAAATTATGACATCCAGTACAAGTTCTTCAACACCCACTGCAGTCATGTCTATTGCATAAGTTAATAGGGTGATGCAGCAGCCAGAAAAGCCAATGCAATTCTAGGCTGTGTCAACAAGAGACTAGAGTCCAGATGGAAGGGTTCCAGGTTGTCTGAAGGACTTTATCTTCCTATATGAGCCTTTTTGAGTTCTAAGAGTTCTGGTCTACATTTGTTTACTATGTGAATTGATACACATTTTTGTACATTCACTTTCTTGTGCAAATTCACATCTATTCACCCTCCCTCTGCCAAAAATGTGAAGCCATCTGAATGGATGTGAAGCAGACAGATGGCCACATCTGCATCGGATGCAGTGACGGAGGCTTCTGAGGTTGGGATGATGGCTGCCAAGATAAACAGCATGGGGGGGGGGCAAACACAGAAAACCAGGGGTAAATTACCCTGGGGTAAAAACCCTGGGGTTGGGCCAGATCCTCTGTATATGTATCTGTACAGTCAGGATTGGTCTTAATCCTGCCCGGGGTTTTTGGCCTGCCTTGTCTAATTGAAGGTTTTTAAGGTTTGTATTTTTTAACACATTATAATTCATAACTGTTTTAACTTTTTTAATTGGTTTTTTTAATTTTTTATATTTTTACATTTTAATGTTTTTGTACTGTTTTAAAATTGTGCTGTTTCAAATTTGCTGTTCGCTGTCTTGAGTCCCTATATTGGGGGTATTTACATAAAATCATCATCATCATCATCATCATCATCATCATCATCATCTAGACAATGTGAGGCCGGGAGCAGGGAACTCAGGCCATTTGGCCCATATGGACAAAGAGGCTGGATGGTAAAAGCTTTCAACTTCCATCAGGCCTTGAGATCTCTGAGTTATTTCTCAACACTATTCAGCTGAGAATCTTTCTATAGGTTAGGCCTGTGTTTTATTGGAAGTTTGTTCCTTTGAGATGCATATATATATATATATATATATATATATATATATATATATATAGAAATGCCACTGATGAACAGCCCCCTCCTTCTTTGCCATTACCAGGTGAACTTTGTGCCTCTTTCATATTCCCCCCGTAACCGGCCTGATAAAAGCATTACAGGGGAAATTCAAACGCGGGCATAAAAAACCCAGCATAGCTAATTTAGGCTAATTAGGATGGCGGAAGCTGAGCCTTGTACTTCAGAGGTTCCCATGCCCTCCCGTGCCTCCACCTGATTGCCTTGTCCAGCCGCAAACTCAGGAGGCACTGCCAATTATATCATAACCTCTTCAAACGCCAAGCCACTCCAGCTAATTTTATCCTATTAAACAGGCGGAAGGATGCAGAAGAAAGGTTCTCCCCAAAAGCTTCAATTACCAGTGTCTCTGATTACCATCTCGACAATCCTATATGCCATAGTTAAATACTTCTCTCTCTCTCTTTCTCTCTCTCTTTATTTGCTTAATGTTGCTTTCTTGATTGAGATGAAAAGCAAGTATTAAGAGCATGTCTTTTCAACTCTGACGAGTGACATTAATAAAGAATGGGGGGGGG